GCCACCAGTAAAGAGTGAAAGTGGGGCCCCCTTCCCCTACATCTCAATGCCACTGTTCAGCAGGAAGCAGCCAGATAATCTGTGCCCCTATTCCCAAATGGGGAACCCACAAATAAAATAAAAAAAAATACAATCGCTTTGTAAAGAAACACTACTCCCCTGAGAATCAACCCAGAACGTTTGTCATATGGATATAAGACTGATATAAAAAGAGCCGGGAATGATAGGGTGGTAAGTTCAGAATATGCATAGTTATAAAACTGACATCAGTTTTCTCCAGCCTGCAAAACTGGTGATTTTGCCTTAGAATTCTTTATTTCCTTTCTTTAGTCATGTAGTTTAAACTGTCAGTTTACCAGGAGAGGAAATGCATTTTTCCTAGATCAGTGTTTACCTCTTTGAAACTGTTTCCCCCCAGTCACATGTAAATTGGATCTTAACCTGCATGTTTGCCTGGAGGACAAGTGTGCCTTTCCTGAGTTAGCCTTTACCTTTTCAGGGCCTGTTTTTCGCAGTCATGTGTTAACTCTTTTGTAAGTCACTTGTTTAAAGGTGCCTATGTGTGAATTGGGTGGTTTTCTTTTTTTTTTTTTCAGATGTGGAAATTCTTTGATTTTATTAACAATGGTGCATTGTTGAGTGAGCTGATGTCTAACCCTGGTATAAAAGCCTAATGACCACTCCCAGATGGGGAGGCAGTCTCTGAGAAGGATCTCCCTCTTTTCTCCCAGATCTGTAATAAAGTGCTTATGGATATTGGGGAAAAAACCCCCAAAACCAACAAACCCAAACGAACAAAAAAACCCCACTACAAAACCCCAACCCAAACCTCATGATATACCTTGAAGAAATCACATCAGTAAGAGTTATCAAGCTGATTTTTTTATTCCTATTTGAAATTTAACTGCTGATTTATTGGAACAGCATCTGTATTCTTGGAAACCTCAGAAGAACAATGTGTAATAATACATTAAAGGACTGTAAGTATCATAATTTCATTTAATTGAACATGGCAGTAAGAATCTTTGGTTAAACACACATATCTTATTTTGAAAACAGATTTGACATCCCACATGCATGACGGAGTACAGACTTCATTGCAGTTCAAATTTTACAAGGATTTATTTGCTGTTGTAACAATCAAATATCAAATTACTCTAGAGAGATTTTATTTTCTGAACAGCATTTGATAGTTAAATGATTAAAAATGAGTCAGATATTCTGGAAAAATGTAGAAATAGGTTTCAAACAAAAGATAACTCTTTTATAAAGAGTCAGTATGTACAAGAAAACATTAGAATTACTTGATATAAGTCAAGTTCATGGATACATACAATCATTGTAAATAAAAACATTAGGCTAGGATATATTCTAATTAGCTTAGTCACAGAAGCAAGCAGACAAGCAAGATTAATTCTTTCCTAGACTTTTTAGAACAAGAGACAGGAATACAGTTTTTCACTGTAATCATCCATGGAGAATAAGTATGTATAATCTTAGATATCTATATACATCCAACATACGCAATATGTTTATATCAAAATATTAACAATATCATTCCCTTCTAAGTATTTCATATAGAATCTGTACAGCAAATCTGTTGTATACTTATTGATCTGTATTCAGCATTAAATAAAATACCTTTAGAAAACTTAAAGATGTCTCATATTCTTGCCACAGTGTATAAATTAATGGTTAACAAAAGATAACTGGTATTGTCTCCTCTTTTCTCCAAGGTTTTGGCACATAATTCAGTTCCTCATTTTACTAGGGACAATTGGGAAAGGGGTGGGGGGAGGAAGAGGGAACGCTTATGTCTCCTTTAAGCTAAGCTTTAAGTTTTAAAAAAATTAAAAATTTAAATTCTGAAATAATTGGAGATTCACATACAGTTTTAGGAAGTAATACAAAACAACAAAAAGGAATCATACAGAGGTCTTGTATATTCTTAACTCAATTTAAAAAAACCTGGCAACTCTGGTGCAATGTCACATCCAGGACACTGACAGTGAGGCATCCGAACAGAGGAGTTCCAGCACTGCTACATCTCTTATGATTCTGTACTTTCTTTGCCCCCAACTACCTGGGCAACCGCTAATTTGTCTTCTATTCCTATGATTTTTGTCATTTCAAAAAAGTGTTATATTAATGGCATCATATGATGCATGATATTTTGGGTTTGGTTTCTCTCAGCACAATTTTTTTGAGATTCTTCCAAGTTGTTGCTGTAATTTTCCTTTTTTATTGATCCGTCATATTCCACAGGATGGATGTATCACAAATGATGTTACCATTTGCCCATTAAAGAGCATTTGAGTTATTTCAAGTTTTTTACTATTTGAATCAAACTACTATGAATATTTACATATTGGTTTCTGTGAATTATAATAAGGTTTTATTTCTTTGGGATAACTGCCATGAGTATAATTGCTGGGTTTTATGTATGGCAGTTGCTTGTTTAGTTACTTTTATGAGAAATTTCCATTTTTTTTCTTTTAAAGAGTGGCTGGCTGTTCACGTAATATTCCCACCAGTCATAGACAGGTGACTCGGTTCCTCTGTATTTTTGTCAATGGTTGGTAATGTCACTCTTTTTCCTTTTAATTAAAAAGTGGTTTGTGGTTCTGATTTGCATTTTTCTAAAGGCTAGTGGTGTTGAACATCTTTTCATGGGTTTGTTTACCATTTGTATGTCCTTTAAAGTGAAATATCTGTTCATAGTCTTCATAGATACTAGTCCTTTTTAGAAACGTAGTTTGCAATTTGCTCCCAGTTTGCAAGCTGTATTTTCATCCTCTTAATAGAATCTCTTGAAGCACAAAGGTTTTAAGTTGTGATGAAGTTTAATTTATAAAATTTTCTTTTCAGGGATTATTCTCTATGTATCAAGTTTAAGATTCTTTGCTTAGATTTTTCTATTTTACTCTTTTTTCCCCCTCAAAGTTTTATATTCAGAACTGTGAAATATTTTGAGTTAGTCTTTGGATTAGGGGGTAAGGTTTAGATTGAAGATTTTTTATATTTAGGACTATGAAATATTTTTAGTTAGTATTTGCATAGGGTGGGAGATTTAGATTAAAGTTTGGTGTGTTTTTTGTTTTTTCTTATGGATGGCTACTGGATCTGGCACCATTTATTCAAAAGACTATTCTTCCTTTATTGACTTTCTTGCCTTTGAAACTTTCTATAATGCCAGGTGGTTGTACTGGTGTGGGTTGGTTTCTAGGCTCTCTCTTCTGTCCTTCTGATCCATGTGAATGCCTCTGCCAGTGCTACACTGTCTTGATCACAATAAATGAAAGTTTGAAGTTGATGTTTCTTTGGAGGATATTTGAAAATAAAGTTTCCTCTAAACTGGACGTAGCAATAACTTTAAATTCTGGAAGTATGAAATTCCTTCAAAGTTATCCTACTTTTATGTATGTATTGCCATTATTAGACTCCTTTGAGTACTTGCTGATGGTAAATTTCATGCATCTTACTATAGTTTTTAGTAACAGTACTTGAAAATACCCTTTGATGACTCAAACTCTTTTCATGCCTTAATTTTTAAAATAATATAACCCTAGATATGGTCTTGTGTTTTTGTGCTCCATAGTGAGCCAAACCCACCAAGAGAATGTGCAGCCAGGATCGAAAGACAGGAAACTCGGCGTCTGCTAGATCCGGGTGGGTTCCAGTAATGACGTCACAGATGTGGACACACAGGTTCATATAGGTTTGGAATGTGCACACAATTGCAGTAGTTTCTTGCAAACACCAGCAGAACTCCTGCCTATTATTGGTAGATCATATCAAATCTATGTTGTTCTTAGTTGCTGTTAAATTGAGTAAGAACTATAACTTGAGAATTTTCTGCCACTGTTGTTAAAAGCAGCAGCAAGTCATCTCCAGGCAGGCTAATCATTCTTTTTTATGACTGCTTTACTCATTTCCTCCCTCAGTGTCTACCTGGGCATTTACAGAATTCTTTTTGTCTTCTTCTGAAAGCTAGGCAGCTTTTAGGTACTACTGTCTCAACTCTACACTGAGTTCTAGAGTCTTACTTGGGAATTTGACTTCTCTGTGAGTGATGACGATTGCATATGTCTTATTGGTTGTAAGCCTGGAATGAGATACCCTATGTAAAAGGCTGCATACAGGTCAGGAACAACGGGCACCCTTCTCTCCTCTCAGCTATTCTCTCTGCTTCCTTTTCAGATTCACCCTCTCCTTTCTCCTGGAAGTCTCTACATATCACAGAATCCGATGCTTCTTATTCTGGATGCCACTCCTAATGCCTGAGAGGGGCAGCCCTAGTCAGAAATGTGAACTGCAGCGATATGGGAACCTGATGGCAAAGCTACTCCATCCTGTGTAATGTGCTCCCACTGCCTGCTTACAGTGAGCAAAGCTGTGTACTCATCTTTGTAAGTTCTCACTCTGCTCATTAAATGTATAGTGAAGGTAGTGTGTGTGTGTGTGAAGCTTCATAGGAAGTATGTCTTAATAAGGCATTTGCAACTCAACAGCACAGTGAATAATCTGTAGACCAAAAGTCCTCTACAATCACCTGAAGTATATTTTGTTCTTTAGTGATTGCCACCAGCTTGGACCCAGAACACTGCTTTTGGCACAGCATGCAACCACAATATCCTCACAATACAAAGTAATCATATTGTACTTACAGTCATAGTGTGTTTTTCTAAAGAATGGAAGAGGACTGTTTCAACATGTCACTTTGACAACCTACAATGATCCTCAACTTGGTGAGTCTGGATTTAATACAAAATGTAAACAAAGGTCATAGAAGTGAAGAGCTTGTGAGAATTGAGGATTTGCAAATGACCAGTTTAATCTCAAAGCTAGGGAGCCCTGTGCATCCTTCTTCTTTCTGCAGAAGGGATGACAGGGTTGCTATGAACCCTTCAGCAGAGAGACAGCGGGTGATAACCTGCCTGGAAACGTCATTTCAAAGGTTTTCAGGTTAAAGCAAATACTGGAGACTATTCTTGACTCCCTTAAGCCTTTGTTGGAACCTCTTTGAAATATTCCTCCCTTGAAATCTCAGACACTCCTCCATACCATTTCTGAAGCCAGATGTTCTGTATCCTCATCTTCATGAAGAACCATTCATATTGGCGGGGCCACTTCCTCATAACTGGGTGCCTGTTAGAACAAAGGAGAGATTGCACTAACACTGACTAGTGGTGTCATGAAGGCGAGTGTGATGCATAGACCGCCCTCCTGAATGCTTACAATCAATTATAATAATAGGATAATATGCGATAAATTTACAATGAAAGAATTTTTCTTTTACTTTTCAAAATGAAGGCTGCATAGTGGAGTGGACTTGGGGGGAAGGATTGTATAACAATGAAAGAATTTTTCTTTTACTTTTCAAAGAGAAGAGAGAACTGGGGGTGGGTGTTGGGCAGGGAGAAAAGTGCAACAGTGAATGAATGGAAATCTAAAGTCTCTGTAAACTGTCATTAAAATTAATTAATAAAAAATTTAGTTTAAAATTGCTTAAAAGTAATGTTTCTTAGATTATGTGAATACTAACAATAAAGCTGTACAGTGAGTAAAATGGCAGAAGAATTGATGCCTTTGAGTTGTGGTGTTAGAGTACTTACTGAATATCCCAGGTACTGTCAAAAGAACAAACAGATGTGGTTTGGAAAAAAATGCAGAGTATTCCTTAGAGGCAAGGATGGCAAAGCTGTGTCTCACATACTTTGGAGATGTTGTTAGGAGAAGCCATTCTTTGGAAAGGGACATCATGCTAGGAAATGCCAGCAAAATAGAGGAAGACCCTCAATGAGACAGACTGACACAATGATTTGCAGCAGTGGGCTCAAATGTATCAGAGATGGTAAGGATGGCTAGGAGAGGGTTCACATCTGTTGCCCACAGGGTCACTATGAGACCTACTTGATTCAACAGCACTTAACAACAACAAAACTGTTCTTTAAAATCTATACTGAACTGAGGATCTTTGGTGGTGTAGTCCTTCGCCAGTCAGGCTGCGAACCAAAAGAATGCTTCTCCTGGTGGTTGGAGTCCACCAGCTTCACTGTAGGTGAAAGACGGGTACTCTCTGTTGTAATTGATACAGTCTCAGAAACCTCATGGGGGAGTGATCATGAGTCAGAATTGACTAGAGGGCAGTGAATGAGTGATACTCAATTACAGAGTGATTAGTTACAGCATTATTAGTAACTGAGCCTTTTAAGGTTTTCTCTTTTTAAAGAAAATTTGTATTATATACTGGTTTACTTTCTCCTTTTCTTTTTAAGACTTAATTCTCAAAAATTTACAAAGTTTACAAATGTTGTTTACCACAAACACTCATAGAATGCAGGTAACAATTGTTATTTTAAAATGTTTAGTTTTTGTAATCATAACTGGCACAGATTTAGGTTCCAGGAAGTAGCAAACTTCCCTAATGACCTAAATCATGTGGTGTGTTAGAGAAAGCCTATAGGGCCCCAAGGAGGTTGACAGCGAGGGCTTAAAAGAAAGTATTGCTTTGGAAGAGGGCTGCTACAATGTGAGGACCGTAATCAGTGTCATAAAAGAAGACATGTCTCAGTTATTGAGTGGAAAACCACTACGCTCTGCAAACTTTCACTCAAATCACAATAAAAAGTTGTTGGGGGTTTATTTGGGGTTTTTTTTTTGTTATTATTTTTAAAGTCATTGGCAACTGGATAAAAGGAGCACTTGCTTTGTACTGGTGAGAATTTAGGCAACACTGTTGTCTGCTGTAATCTGGAAAAGAGGAAATGTACCTACTGAACTCAAGGGTTTATGATTCCTCGCTCACTTGGAAACACACCACCTCGCTACACAGCTGAATGGAAGAATGACCAAGTTAGAAAATAATGCAGGCACACTTCTGTTTACTTCTCACTCTCCATATTGAACATCATGAATGCACATTGGTCTAAGCCATTCTAGTTTTTCCTTTTCCTCCTCTGTTTTTCCCTTTTATACACTTAGAAAGATGTCACCTTCAGGACTCAAGTGTTCCTGACCCAAACCATGGTATTTTCAGTGAACTCATATGCATGTGAAAACTGGGCAGTGAATGAGGAACACCAAAGAACTGATGCCTTTGAGTCGTGGTGCTGATGAAGAATATTGGATATCTCATGGACTGACAGAAGAGCAAAGACATCTGTCGTGGAGGAAGGGCAGTCAGAGTGCCCCGTTAGAAGTGTGTGCTCCTGAGAAATGAGGATAGTAAGCGTTCCTCTCCTCTATCAAGGTGAAGAGCTGTCAGGAGGGACCAGTCACCAGAGGAGGGCATCATGTTTGTTCAAGTTGAAGGTCAACAATAAAGAGAAAGACCATCAATGAGATGGATCGGAACAATGGCTGCAACAATGGGCTGAAGCAAAGCAGTGGTTGTGAGGAGGACACCAGACTGGGCGGTGCTTTGTTCTGTTGTACACAAGGTCTCTAAGAGCTGGAACTGACTCAATGGCATCAAACAGCCATGTGGCCATGAGAAACTTAGCTTCCATTATTGTAATTATGCTTATTACTTATTTGATTGTTTCCATCTGCCTGGGTCATGAATGACTAGTTCAACTTAGTGTCTGCCTGGATGTGACTCATCCACTAAGTGAGACCAGTCTGTCTGTTTTCATTGCCTACACTTCTCTATGGGCATCCCCTTCTTAACTCCTTGTCCACCTCTAAGCTTCTATTATAAACTGCCCCTCGTGGACATCCCTATTACCCTATTACTTACATCCCTATACATCCCTATTACTTAGACTGACTGATTAATCATACATCTGAACATCACCTTACCTTCACAAGCTCTGACTCCCACCCTGGGCCACCCCCTCACTCTGTAGAAGTGGCTCTGAACCTTTAGAATGCATAATGGTTTCCTGGGGCATGCTGTTAAAGATTTAGAATGAATCCTATTTCCAGAGAATCTGATTCAGTAAGTAGGTTAAGGGGTGGGAGGAGGGGGCAGAAAGCCACACTTAGATAGGTTTCCCTGAGTTGTTTGAGAGTAGAGCACTCCCAAGGAACCTTTCATAACCAGAAACGGTGTAAAGCAACAGAGCAAATTAATGACAATTCATTTATATGGGAAAATTTTGAATGTTTCCAACCCCCCCCAAAATAATCTACAAAATAATGCCAAATAACACATAAAATCTAAACGCCTATAATATAACCAGGAGTAATATTATACTGTTGTGATGTGCTATTGAATCAGAGCTGACCCTGGAGTTAACCCTCCAGCAGGGTTTCAGAGTCTGTAAATCACACAGTAGGAGACTGCCCATTTTTCTCCTGTGGAGCAGCTGGTGGACTTGAACTGCATGCTTCAGGTTAGCATTTCAGCTCCTTACCACTAGGCCACCAGAGCTCTGATACTGGAGGAATTGGAAATGTGTGTTTTGTTGATTTGAATGATGGGTCAGTTATTTTTATTTCAAGACTTTGCACTGACCAATCACCGTCATTGTATCAGAGGCATCAAAAATCACAGCCCAGACCTCTGCTTTTCATGACTGAGTCTTCCTGGGAAAATCAGCTCGAGCGCATGTACAGACCTTGAAAACATGGCTTGTCTGGCAAATTCTGCTTCTTCTGGAGAGACAGCAACCATCTGGCCGGTGAGTGTTAACCGCACACATCGAGGATCTTCTGGGTCAACGATGTTTCTTCTGTGTGCAAAGACCATGTATTAGAGGCATGATATCACATTCACCTGGAATACTAAAGATTCTATTTAAAACAAAAGACAAAATGGCCCAATGAAATGGGCTGAAGTGAGTCTTTTTCAGCTTGAACAAGACTTTTCCATTTACAGGAAATTGTGGATCATCCGTTTGAAAATGTAAGCCATCTGGGCCCAACAGTGTCTCTGTGAGAGGAATTTTTCACATTGTAATTTAATGATTTTTATTTATTTATTGAAAAGAAGTTAATTAGGGGAGGGGGACAGAGAGAAAAATACATACCAATGAATGGATGAAAATCCAAACCCTTCGTAAATGTTCACTAAAATCACAACTTAAAAAAAAAAACCAAAGATGTTTAATAGAGTGAAATCAGTTTCCCTTCAACAATTTACACAGACGGCTCTGTGACATTGGTTGTCATCCCCAAATGTGTCAGCAGGTTTCCTGTTTCCACTCTGGGCTACCCATTTTCCTTCACCTCGATTTCCTGCCTTCTGAACACTGCTTTTCGGGAAATGCTTTTCTTTCAGTCTTTGTCATTTGCTCTGAGGAGCTAGCCCCTCCTCAGTGTTATTCACTGTGTAAGCCTGTCTGTTATGTGGCTCAGAAGTGTTCTCCGAGTGGCATCAGTTCTGTCAAAGTTACAATGTTGAAGGGCCATTGACACGGTGATTGCAGCCAGGGGCTCAAGTGTGTCAGAGATGATGGGAGGGCACAGGATAGGATGGGGTGCAGATCAGTCATCATGAGTTGTACTCGGCTCAATGGCACATAACAACAAGGGTCGTAGTTTTAGGGCCTCCACTAGTCCTACGAGATCAGTAAGTCTAGAATTTTCTCTGAAGCTGAGTTTTGTTCTGCCTTTCCATCTCACTCTAACAGAGTGCCTTCTACTGTGACTGGTATCAGAGGACTGTGGTGGCAGCCGGGTATCAGCTGGCTCTGGCATCACGGCAGCGGAGCCTGTGGTTCACTGGTCTACTGGTTCTTTTCTGGGAGTTGTTCCCTTGAATCGTGCTTTTCTTCACTTACTGTTGCTCCAGATTGAGAGAGACAGAGTTGTAACTTGGATGGCTTCATACAATTTGTTAAGACTCAGGATGCTTTGGTGGTCTGGTGGTAATGAGATGTACTGTCATCCCAAAGTCACAAGGTTCGGATCCACCAACTACTTTGGGGGAGAGAGATGGGTAATCCCCTCCATGTGATTTATAGCCTCTGAAAACCCACTGACGGGACAGCTAGCTATTCGTTGTTTCTCACTTGATAGCACATAACAACACTCACTAGTCACCAAAGCAGAAAGTAGAGCATTGTCTTTATTAACTGTTATTCCAATCAACCTAGATACTCTCTACAACCATGGTCCCCATTTACTCAAATCTAGTGTTTTAGTCCAGGTGTTTGGCTAAGAGGTTTTCATGGCTCAGTCCCCTGAGAAAATCTATTTAATACATGAATATGTTTGCAACATGTATAAATATATATTTAGAAATATGCACTTCCAAACCTGTATAAGCTCATGGATTTACCCCAATATTCCTTCCAACCCTGATCAGCTTATATAACAACATATGTATTCACTCATATGCTATTGTTGTTGTGTCTTGGATTCTATATGTAATAATATTGATGTTAATTATCTTTCACTCTTGTGTACCTTTCAGTATTTTCCTCTGCCTTGGTTATACTACGTGGACTTCCTCTTGTTGTTATGTGCTGTCGAGTCACTTAGAACTCATAGCGACCCTCTGTATGACAGCTCTGAACCCTGCTCTATCTTGAGTCAGTTTCATGGTCTCTGACACACTCCCTTCTTGCATAAAGATTTACATCCCTGGACACAGTGGGGCAGTTCTATTCGGCCCTGTAGGGTCATCGTGAGTCTGAGTCAAGTGAACTGTGAAAAAAAGCAGGATTAACAAGATGTTGGAAGCTAAGATGTCATCTTGAGGACTAAGATGCATTTGTTCCAAGTTAGAGTATTTTTTATGGCCTCATACACATCAGAAAGCCAAACGATGAATGAAGAAGACTGAGAAAGAATGAATGAATTTGAAGTATAATGTTGGTGAAGAATATTGACTACGATACGGACTGCTAGAAGAATGACTAAATCTGATTGGGAGAAGTACACCCAGAATGCTCCTCAGAGGCAAGATGAGGAGACTTCCCCTCACTTCTTCTGGAAGTGTTACCAGTAAGAAGAATATTGTGCTTGGTGAAGTCGTTGTTATGTACCACTGAGTTGCAACCGACTCATATCTTACTCTCCAGTGGGCTGTCAGAGGCAGGACATTGCACAGTGCGTTCTCAGAGGTGGTAGATTGCCTATCTTTCTTCCTCCAAGCAGCTGATGGCTTTCAACCCATGACTTTGGGCTGGCAGCCCAGCTCCTTTCCACTAAGCCACCAGGACACCTGTGGCAAACTGGAGAGTCAGTGAAAAAGAGGAAGACCCTCACCGAGCCAGGCGGACACAGTAGCTGCTTACGCACAGCACTGGTGGCAGGGATGGTGCGCGTCACTGGGTTTGTTTGGTTGTCACAGGGTCACAGTGAGTCACCGAGTTGAGATCAACTTGATAAAACCCAACAGCAAAGAACTGCAGGGATCTAGGGAAGCACAGGGGAAGAGACACAGAAAGCTGGCACTGGCTGGGGAGAGACATTTAGATGAGTGAGCAAAAGCAACCCTAAGGACAAAGGAACTAGAGTCGTTAGTGGATTCCTGAAATGGATGAGAACCATGGAGGTGAAACTTCCTAGGCTGAAACAAAACTAAGGACAGCTTAGTGGCTGCAGACCCCTAAAAAATTAGCCATATGAAGGAGGCAGAGGAGAATACACAGAATCCTGCTCAGCGACCTTTCTCTGGGCTGAGTTCTCAGACAACTCTTTAAAAAAATACTCAAATTAAGGGAGCTCTGGTGACCTAGAGGTGAGGACTGCGCTGCAATCCTAAAATCACATGGTTCAAATCCACCAGCTGTTCCATGGGAGGAAGATGGGCAATCTCCTGTGTGATTAAACTGCCTCTGAAAACCCAGTGGAGTCAGTTCCTACGTGCTGGTATAACCACCACCAAAAGACACTCAGACTAATGGTAGTTCTATCTATCTATCTGTCTATCTATCTATCTATCTATCTATCTATCTAGTATTTTATATCATAAAATACATAGTATATAATATACATAATGGTATAACCACCACCAAAAGATACTCAGACTAATGATAGTAATATATATATAATATTTTATATCATAAAATACATAATATATAATGGTATAACCACCACCAGAAGATTCTCAGACTAATAGTAGCTCTAGGAATGCAGACGGTGTAGGCAAAAGAGAAGAGAAACCACAAATTGGGACAGAGAGCAATTTATTGAGAAGATTTATATGTTGTCGTCAAGGGGAACAAACTAGATTCAGGGAAGAGAAATTGAATTCATTCTGTGTCTCTGATTTGGGCTGGGCCCTATATTCTAGGATTTGTATCACATCTTAGGTGGACAGAGAGTCCAGGAGGAGACATGGCTTGGTTATTAGCAGGCAAGTCAATGCAGGCACGTCCTAATTCCGTGCGCTCACTTAATCAAGCTCATCTAGAGAACGACTGAACACAGCATCTTCAAACACAGCTCTAGGATAACAAATCCCAGAGCCTGCATGTGGAATTAGGCTGGGCAGAGGTTTTTCATTAATCATACAAAGAATCTTTTCTCCCTACAAAAACCATTTAAAAAGAAGAGGATGTGAAGGGAGGTGGAGAGTAAGTTATGAGGCTACATTTCCAGAATCTCTTTATTTTCTGCATAGAAAAAAAAATAATTAAACAGTACACAGTAATTGAATTGTTTGTAGTCATTACTCTAAGCACTTAGCTAGTATTCTTGGCATAAATGAAGCCAAGCCTCCCCTCACCATCTGTTTTTGTTACAGTGTTCCTAGAACAGAAATACCACAAGGAGAGAGCTCTAAAAAACACTTATTAAAAAAAAAACACCCCACCTCTCATAAAACATAAAAAAGGTCAGATTTACTGGCACAATACACTGGTGGGACCCCCAATAATACTATGGCCCTTAGTCATCTTTCAAATCTGCAACAAAACTCATCCGTGTGACTCTACTTTTAGCCAAGCAATACACAGGCCAACAAAGTGACCAGTAACATCAAGGGGGCCCTCACTCTTTAGAATAACCAGCCACAGAAGGTCAACAGGAAGCATGGGCCCAAGGAGAAAGCTCAGAAGAATCAGTGGACAGGAGAAGCACAGGCAACGGGAAAGCTGTGATTACATTGTGGGTAATGTAGTTACTGTTACAAAAATGTGTATGCACAATTGAATGAAAGACCAATATGCACTGTACATTTTCATTCAGGTCATAATAAAAAATATAAGGAATTAGAAAGAAATTACTTTTCTCACAGTTGGGAAGTCCAAATTCAAGAGTACTGGCTTTCATTTCTGCAGGTTCTGGATGAAAGTCCTTGTCTCTTCAGCTTCTGCTTGGAGGTCTATGTGTCATGCCTCTTTCTCATCCCATCTCTTTGCTCCCACGTTTTACTGTCACTACATAGGAGAAATCGTGTGGCCCTTTACAATCTTTCTTAGAAGGCTCCTTAGCCAGACATTGAAGTTCATGATTTATAGGTTCTACTCTCCATTGTTTTCCTTTTGTTTTGGCTTCTTGATGCTCCAGTGCAATCTTTAGAGTCTTTTCAGACACCCATTTTTTTCCTTTCTCCTTTGTTTTTGTAATGTCCTTTTATTTTCTTCACAGATGACATTGTTGATATCATCCCATAACTCATCTGATCTTTGATCAGTCATGTTCACTGCCTCAAACCTATTCTTAAGATGATCTTGAAATTCAGGATTGATTAAAGATCATATCTTGTTTCCTGTGGACTTATTTTAATTTTATGGATCACATCTCAATATCAAGAAAACAAAGATTCTTACCACGGGAC